AAATCCTGAATATGAGCGTAAGTAATTTGCAAAGTCAGAGATCAGCATATCAATAAAACATTGAGATGTCAACCCCAGCCTCCATACACAGCACAGCTAATGGGAAACATATTGCTCAAAGTGAGATCTTGACATCAAAACGGTACGTCCTTTTCCGGGTTTTGAAATACGGTTTTACAATTAGACCATAGCGTTCATATTTCATATTACAAACTGTCTGGAGAGCTGATGATGAGATATTTGTTATGCCAACACAGCAACGGAGTTTAATCAGTGACTTTCCATTATAAGCGACACAGACACTGTCTTGAAGTCAGTCAAAACTCATGTAGCGTTATTAAACCCTTCCAATGCGGTTGATTGATAATAGGCTATATGTCAGTTCTGCTCTGGAAATCAAGCATGCTTTTCAACAGTTTGGACTTTAGCAGAGACACGGGACTTGTGATGTCGAACACAGGCCTCCACGCTGCATGTGGTTTTCATTTGCGCGCTGTTTTAATGCAGACATCTATAGGTGGGCTTCTTATATAGGCTAGCTCAGCCCTTCTCCTCTACTCTGGACTGGATGAGGGCATGTTTCCCGCTTCTCTACACGACACCTGCACTGACCGAGCGAGTGTTGTCTCAAACAGCTCTCTGTTATGATTGGCTGATGCCGGACCCCTGACCGAGAGTCTGCTTTCAGAGGTGTTCTGCTGGAATAAAACTGTGTACATAAGAAATACCACAGCAAAAGAAGATAATATATGCAGGATATCGATAACAGAAAACACCAGCAAATGCCATGAAGATTGAAGTCCAAAATAAAATGCATCGGTACTAAGAAGGCATAGGTCTCTATCATTGCTGAATTGATCATATTGATGATCTTTCTCATCAATAAAACCAATTAACCGCATCCTGAGCTGGCAAGAATAAACACAAGGCTCCCTCTAGTGAGATATCTCACACACTTCATCAAACACACACTCATTGATTGAATTGTCCATGTGAATAAATGTGGCCATGCGATAAAATGGTCAGTCAATTCAGAAACAAGTGGAGCAAAATTACATGTAACATACAAATCAATTTCAATAAATCCAAGATCGTCAATGCAAATTGAATTGCGCTTGATTAGGGTTTTGAACAAAATGAACATGCAGAACAATATTCAGGAAAGAGTTAATACGCATACAAAAACTTTTGCATTAGGCTACAGAACCGAACCAACATTAACAACGCGCGTTAACTCGTGCGAACTTTCCCGCGCGAGATCCTTCAGAACGCGACGAGATTCAAACGCTTCCCGCGCTCGCCGTTCTGACAGGTTCGTTCCTCAGAATGTGAACGTTCTAATTCTTTATAACACGAGCATGCGTTAATCTCACCTGAGAACAAGGGAATCCCAATCCAAATCCGACAGAAGAACGTACAATCTGTCTTCATTTCCAGGTTTCCAGTCCTCCGGGGTTTTAGATACTCTATCAAACCTGCGCGTTTCCCGAAGTCATGCAGCAGCGCGAGCACAAGCACCTCAGGTTCAGGTGAAGCCCGGAGAAGAGTCTCTGAAAGAGGATGTGCCACAGGACGGCGGGGATAACACACTCGTTTTCCTGTTGAAAGGAGAATCCTGAAGTTCTGAATGGATTTACAATCATTTCCTTTTCCTCTGCCTCCTCGGGTTCATAAACGCCTCAGTGATGATGATGATGATCCTTACAGTGTCACAGAAAAAGTGTCTATAAAGTTTGGCATTCACACACACTTCACAGATTCTGACTGAGTTGTTCATTTCCACACACTCTAGTGGACATGTGTTTTGCGTTAATACTGTCTGAAGTCCTGGAATCTTTAGTGACAGCATTGATTGAGGGTGTGTGTAAATATAAATGTTTGGTCTCGTGAGCCTATATTTGCAGTCATATCTCAAGTCCAGGTGAGATTTTACTGACAGACTCAGACCATAACTAGATCATAACTCTATGATAATGATAAATGGGACACTATATCCAGACCAGAAACCTAATCAGATCATTTCCACTTCGAGGTTTCAAACACCGTCTAAATTATGTTTTTTTTTTTTTTTTTTTTTTAAATAACAGAAATTACTACCATCTGAAACAACTAACTAAAGCAGCAGGAGTGTGTAAAACATAACGGGCAGCAGTCCGACTATAGCATGGGTTGGTGTGTGTGTGTGTGTGTGTGTGTGTGTGTGTGTGTGTGTTTTCACAGGCGTGCTGTATGTTTGATTTGGCTCGTGAAGCGTTCATTAGTGTGAATGTTATGAAGGGCGATTCTCGAGTCATAATGTTAATAATGGCACGTGTACAAACACTGACACACTCGCTAATGAACCACTAAATCTTTAACCGCAGATCCATAACCGGCAGATGCGTGTTTGCTCCATCGGGCGAGTCTAATGCCACAACTCGATCTATAAAATCTAGTCCATTATTGTTAATCCTTCAGCAGTGTCGCTTCAGAGGATTCGAGTGTTTTTGCATGGAAACATATGCTGAATAGCAAATACATAACTTGATTATGACTTAGAATGCAGATTGTGTGCTGACTGACTGAGACACGTTGCAATTAGTAGTTCTGACTCATTGCTTTTAACAGGTTCTGCTGATGGGTTGCAGAAGATGCAGGTCAGACTGTGATTGACAGCAGGGAGAATCAACACACATTAAAGTCTGCGTGTCACTCAACGCTATTAAAATGAGAGAAATGCCAATGTGTTGATTGCTTTAAAACCACGAGCAGAGCTATCAAAAGTAGGCTTTATTGTTATTATTATTATTATTATTATTGGGCTTTTCCGGTATTCCACATGAAAAGTGCAGCATTTCCTCAGTCCGTGTCCTCTATAGTTCTCCAGCTCAAGGACCAGACCTTGAAGTGCCACGGTCCTCCTTCCTCATCCCGGGGTCAGGAAACACATTACTGGCTCTCCCGACATTAGGGAAATGAGAGCATGTCACTCGCCACCAGGAACAACAACAACACACACACACAGGTTGTGTGCTCGTGCTCTGATGGAGTGTTTCTTCAGTTTAACCCTCTGCTGATCGGTCAAAAATTGTACGTTTTGTGGTTTTTTTGTTTTTGAATTTTTTACTTCATCGGAATGGTGCGATACTTGGTATAGGTTTTGGCACTTGCTCTGTGAACACACACACAAACACACACACAATAAATCACGGCCATGACTGGAACAGGTTGAATGGTCCTGACTCCTGAAAGTGATGTTCACACTGGCGGTCAGAAATGGCGCACTGTAAATGAATGAGGAGTTTCCTCTAGTGGACGCGTTTGGAACTGCAGCCGAACACACACTCACTAATCGCTCATTACTGACAGATCACACACACATGTGGAACACACTTCGACTTAGATTCATGCCGTTCATTTTCCTGCAGTAACATGTTCTCAGAAATATGTATTTCATATAAAAATGGAAAATAGTATTTTTGAAAAATTTTCATAACAATAAATGTAAAATTCTGTAACTTTTTTCACTTCAGAAATAATCTGCCATGTGTCGTGTTTGAAAAGAGATCAAACTTAAGTATGTAAAAATAAATTAGCTATAGTACATTTTTATTTTTACGCAAACTTGGCTAATACCCCCTTTGCACTTCTTCACTTTAGAGACACAGCATTTGTGAAAATTAGACTTCCGGTAAGCTAAGCTATGATGATGTAACTAATCAACTGTACATCTGCATTATGCATCTGGATGAAAATATAAGCAGAACTTCAGAGAGTTTAGCAGCAGAGGACTGATGTTAATAAAGAATGACTGTTCATTGTGTTTAAAGGCAACCTGACCCTGTGGAGGAGGGCTGAGCACTGTGTGTGTGTGTGTGTGTGTGTGTGACCCCTCGCAGGAGGCAGGAGGAAGAGGATGTAGATGCACTTTTCCTGCTCCGACAGATAATGCCCCACCCTTGCTGTTTTCTGCATCCGGGATGGGATAACCCCCCAACAGGACAGGCTTTATGAACCAACTTCAACCCTTCCGAATTAAATATGAGATATTGCAGGTGAATGATGTGTTGTGGCATGCATATTTCATATGTTGTGCAAGTGATATGCATGTATATGAAGGTGTTTGTGTGACAGAACAGGGAGCTTGTTCAGCATTGCAGAGGTTGGACATGCTTCAGGAATAAACATCTCATCTTCCTGCCGTCACAATGATGGACAGAAGCAGAAGGAACCGCTGAACACTGACGGAGCGGGATGATCGAGTCCTCTGGGATGAAGCGGAATGACTGGACAACTCACTGGGAAGAGCAAAGGATTTTTATTTGTTTCCATGCAATCTCTATAATTACTTTCTGTGCATATCTATAAAGGCAACGATGAAAAGAATATTGTGCAGTATCGATGTCACACAATGCTGTTGTAAATTTATTTTATTAAATGCTGGACTGATTTACATCATACAGTATTTATTTACCATTTCTTCAGCATTTCTAATTCACAAATAAATGCCTAAAATGAATTAAAATAAAAAAGGCACTTCTTTACAGGCTAAGATAGGCTAAAGAAATTTGAATAAATTTGAAATTTGAAGAAATCTGTATAAAATAAAATAAAAAAATGAAATAAAAAAGCACTTTCTTACCAGAGAGGCTAAGGAATTTTGTCAGAATAAAATAAAATAAAAATAAAATGAAGCACTTTCTTACCAGACAGGATAGGAATTTTGTCAGAACAAAATAAAATAAAAATTAAAAAAATAAAGAAATAAAATAAAATAAAATAAAAAAGCACTTTCTTACCAGACAGGGTTAGGATTTTTGTCAGAATAAAATAAAATAAATTAAATAAAATAAAACAATCTCTTACCAGATAGGGTTAGGAATTTTGTCTTCATAAAGTAATAGATAAAGTAAAGTAAAAATAAATAAATAAAGTAAAGTAAAATAAAGCACTTTCTTAACAGACAGGCTAAAGAATTTTGTCTTCAAAATAAAGTAAAATTAAATTAAATTTAATTAAATAAGATGAAATAAAGCAATCTCTTACCAGACGGGCAAACAATGTTGTCTTCAAAATAAAATAAAAAATAAAATAAAATAATAAAGCACTTTCTTACCAGACAGGCTAAAGAATTTCATCTGCATTTGTGCGACGTTAGCCTCATTTGATTAAAATAAAAAATAAAGATTCTATAAAATTAAATTCTAAAACAGTAAATAAAAATAAAAAGCTGAAAAAAAGTTCAGATGATGTTTCTTTTATTAATCAACATGTAAAGTCATGTAAAATCAGATCTCTGGAATCAATATCTTACACACACACACACACACGATTCAGAATTGTCTGTGGTCTCTCGTGTCGAGCATAAAATAAACTCCCCTCGTAAAGATTGATTAGCGTCATCATGTGCTGATTAGCGTGAAAATATGGAAAACCAGTATAAACCAGAGGCTCACTGCATCTCCCGCTGGAAAGGGAAGTGCAGGATGCGCATGGCCTGGGCTTTGTGTCCGCGTTCACTGAGGCACGTGCTGAAGAAGGGGAAGGCCCTCCCTCGGGGCCCGCTGGAGAAGCAGTACAGCAGCGCCATGCTCTCCGCGGCGTAAAACGACACCACCCTCTCTTCACAGTCCAGGAACACCCCGATCCTGCTGGGACGCGTGGCGACGGCGAGCGGGGTCCAGGGCTGCGTGCCGGCCGAGAACTGGGTGCCGCTCCGCAAGCGCAGGGTCCAGTAGCCGCTCTCAGGACACAGCTTGACCCGGGCCCGGCGGTTCACCGACTCCAGGCACACTCCCAGGTCCCATTTGGGACTGTTGCTCACGTCCACCTCCCAGTAATGGCTGCCCGACTGGAAGCCCTCGGTGGCCAGGATGTTGACGCACTGGAGGAAGCGCTTGGCGTCACACCTGTAACTGACCATCGTGTCGCTCTCGATCACTTGGGTTTTGTCCCTGGACAGCTGTAGACTGGGATGAGCGGTGTCCTCATCGAATATCAGTGGTGCTGGGCCTGGGAAGGAAACACACACCGGCATGATTTTGAAACATAGAGGGCCTGTTTCAACGATCCAAGCGCATGGTCTGAAGATCTTGAGATCGAGCACACACACGAGCACGAGCACTCTTGTTGCATTCTGAAACATCACCACTAGAGGCCGCTAAAAATCCATACACCACCTTTAAATAACTAAATATATACTCGTTCTCAAACCAGCAGACGCACAGATGCATTTGCTATAGAGTGCCGAAGTGATGACGTCACTTTGTAGGACAACCCGGAAGGGTTCCCTCGGTCGAAAAGCGATGCATTTTCCCCGTCGACTTTTGGAAAATCGCGAAAAATAAGATCTGTGCTCAACAAAGAGTTGTGACACTTACACGATAATCTTTACAAGTTAATACGAAATTTATACATTTTGAAGCCTATATAAAGATTTTAAAAAACACAATCAGACACAATAAAGTTTAAAAAACCATAAGCAGGTTATAACTGTGTGTTCTGTGTCAGAGATCAAAACGGGAAAATATTTAGAGGTTTTGTTCACCACAGATCTTATTTCAGGAGATTTAGCAAAAACCCATTCAAAAATCCCAGACTTTAGAGCGAGGGAACCGTAGTGCTAAAATGCTAACTCACTTCCGCGTTTTGGCCTACAGAATGACGTCGTACACGACGTCACAATGTGGCACAGGACGTGAAAATGAAAACTGTGTCGGGCTGAAACTAGCAAAACACAGGCGCTTCTTGCGCCACGTGTGTGATAGTGTCGCAGTGTCTGGTTTGTGTTTCCCTGAGTGTCCACTAGAGGTCTCATCCTGGAGAGCCTTGGCACTTCCTATTAGCCCCGTTGTGTATCATCTTGGTTGCAGTTCCATTAAAATTCCACTGGGGGTGATCACGGGCGAGAGCAGAATGAATGGGAGTCTATGGGGCTAAACGGCTAAATGTGTTTCTTTCACCTGCTTGTCGTTAAATCAACATAGATTTTATTGTTGATTCCGCAAGTTCAATATAGATTATAGGCCAAAAGTCGAATGAACGAGTGCTTATGTCCGTTTGATTTCTTACAGGTTAGGCCGTTGTTGGCTGGAGCACGCTAGCATTCTGCTATTGTGTGACGTCATCACATTTTTGAACGGATTTTTGGAACAGATAAGTGAACTTAAAAATGCAGTGTATTATCTTAGCCCTCGCTTTTGAATACAACTTTCAAATTACTTGACAAAAAATTACATCCTGAGAAAAGTGGATTTCTGGGGGTGAAACCCCATTGACTCCCATTCATTCTGCACTCGACCGCGAGCGCCCCCGCATGGACAGAGACGCGTTACTGCAGCCAGTCCAGAACCCGGAAGTAACCAGCCAGTGCCAGTTCTCCTCAATTAGACATTAGCTGTGTCTGAAACCGCTCACTCGTTCACTCATTCACTAATCCCTAAATAGTGTATGGCATTTGAGTGCACTATATCTGCAAGGAGTGAACGAGATGAAGTGAGTGAATTCGGACGCTGACGTTTACACTGTGCGTCGGAGAGTTGGAGCTGTCGCAGAAAAGGCTTCGTCACGCGTACTGATAAAACTCCTTTTATCTTACATTACCTACTTTATAAAATAATACTAACAACAATAACAATCACAATGACTTTATTTTGTAATTATACCTCCGTGCCAGCTTTGTAGTTTCATCGACTGAAATTGTACGTTAACTCTCACGTTCACAGATGACGTGTCGTCGAGCGCCCTCCGGCGACCGTTATTATGTTCAAAACGACGATTAACGGATATTTTCCAAATCCTCCACTGGATGTAATGTAATTTCTGGTTTAAACTTGCTCGCGCCGAACTTTCATGCGCGCTCAGTTCTCTCCGCATTGGATTGTGGGAAATAGGGCTTCAGCAAGTGTACATCGAATGTACACTCGAATTCAGAGAGGATTGTGGGTAAAAGTAGTGAATGAATGTAGGGAATGATGTCGTTCACTCAGAATTCGGACACCACTACAAAATGGCCGACACCCGATATAGTGCACTATATAGTGGATAGGGAGCGATTTCAGACACAGCTATTCTCTGTCTTTCCCCGGCCATACTATCACCATTCACTCTGGAACCGCATTTCCCACAATCCTTTGTCTTTTCTCATTACTCATCATTTCACACAATGCCCTGTCTGTTTCTGTCCTTGCCACAGAGTCATTGTATTGTTTGTCACGCTGTAACTCTGAGGTTTGTTTCTGCTCTGTTCTCGTTTTGTTTTTGCTTGTTTTGTAAGATTATCATTCGGACTTTGACACTGGAATGGATGACGATGATGTTTTAGATTATTTGGATTATGATGCTTGCATGACTTGGATTGCCCTGTCTACACCAGCCTTTCTCAAAGTGGGTGCCGCCGCACACTGGGGTGCCCCCTAGCTGTGTCAGGGGTGCCGCCAAAAAATTACGTAGGCTAAAAAAAATGTGAAAAAAAAACCCCCAAAAAAAAAACAGCTGACATTTCATATATAAATAAATTTGAATTTACATTCTTTTTTTTAAACATATGAACATATTAATAAAATTGTAAATTCATTTTAGATAAATATATAAAATTAATCATAAAAAAATCCGTCTCACAAGTCCGAAGCAAGACACACACAACTTGACGCAAGTGACGCAATCCATAGCAACGCGTTATAGCAACACCTCAGACTGACAGAAACGTAAAAATAAACGTGAATTTAGGCCACTTTAGTTACAGCATTATGGATCGTTTTTTGAAAAGAAAATCCCCACAAGAGCCGGGGATTTTTATTTTATTTTATCTGCATCCTGCACTTCATTTGAGTTCTCCTGGTCTGGATTTGTTATTGGGTTCTTGTATTGGAGCGGTCCACCTCTTACGGTTTTATGGCATTTGTGTCTCTGATTAATTATTTTGTGAATTACTTTCCAAACCTGTGTTTTTAAAGGTGCTATAAAGTTTTTATTATTATTGTTATTTACAGTTCATATTATGCTCTGTTCATTACTGTTCTGTCTAACTAAACAAGACATTTGCATTTAAATTTGGGTTATGCAGTGTTTTTAAATTATATTTTACACTGGGGTGCCTTGAGATTTTATGCACTTTTGAAAGGTGCCCTGACTGAAAAAAGTTTGAGAAAGGCTGGTCTACACTATTGCTGCATTTGGATCCACCCAATTCTCCACTTTCTGTCGTGACAAATTCTGATTCAGAAATGTCTGATGAAAGGGATTTTGATGGCATTCAGACCCGTCAATGGTTCTTGATTGGCTACGTTCTTCTGCTCGTGCGAGAAACCGATGAAACGATGTTTCCAGCGAGTTGTGAACTTGTTGAACGCAACAAAAACAAAAGGAGTCTTTTCCATGTTAATCGGTGCTTTTGTCCCAGCAGCTCTCTGATAATCTCAGGCACTTGTGTGGTTATGACAATAAAACGTCAAAAGCCACGATGAAAGCAACAATAGATAATTTACCTCAGATCTTGAAAATGACAAAGTCCCCCAGTGGTGTAAATCCAGCGTTTAATCTTGTTTATGTGTGTATGTGGTGTTTTTAATACGCTTAAACCGACAGTGTTTTCTCCTTAAAGCTGCAGTGAACCAAAGACACGCCCCTGTTTCCCGCAGTCACAAACATGTGACCAATCACGTCACGAGAGGGGCAGGCTTCCGCATATCATTAACAGCGAACTAGCACTTATATCAGTGTATTTTTCTGTTGATATGAATATCGTGCACGTTTCTGATGATTGTTAGAAGGCGAACGGGAACATGGTTTGTGTAACATAACACATTATAAGCGGTTTGATAATGTAGTCGTGTCATATCAGGATCGTATCAATTACTGTTGTGTGTCTGACGTTGTAGAGAGCGACACAGAAAACACATTATCATTCCAGCCTGTAAAATTCACTCAGTTTCTGGATCAAACATAGCATATCACTACAGTTGATGAGTGGGTCAGGTAATCCGAGCTGAGTGAGTGAGTGGGGGCGGGGCTCATTTGCATATTCATAGAACTGCACATACTGAATGAGGCAAGGGTGTCGAGTTACATTCAAGATATTTTAAGGAAGGAAGGAAAAACGTTTAACCCTCTGGTGCTCTTCTGTCATTTCTGACCGAAAAATTTTCTGTTTTGACATTTTAAAATTCACAGCTTCTTTAGAAAATTACGAAACTTGGTGACTTTTATGGCATTGGGAATGTGAACACACAAAAAAATTGAGGTCACGATTCGAGCAATTTAAATGGTCAAAAAAAAATGAGTCACACTTTTGCTCTTCTGTCAAAAATGACCGACCCATAGGAAATGAATGGGAAATTGACCAAAAATAAAATTCGCTGAATTTTTGTATGTACAATCGACAAATCGGCCACAATTCTAAAAAAAAAAAGTACACCGCAGGAAAGGGGTGACACTCTACAACATCTAGAGTGCAAAACAGACACACCCACCAACACACACACACATACAAACACACTTTTATACACATACACACCAATAAATTTTGATTACAAAAAGTATGTTTTGAATTTTTAAAAATCACAGCTTCATCGCAATGTTACGAAACTTGGTGACTTTTATGGCATTATGTATGTGAACACACAAAAAAATTGAGGTCATGATCTGAGCATGCTAAGTGGTCTTAAAAAAATTGTGACACTTGTGGTCTTTGGTCAAAAATGACCCCATAGGAAATGAATGGGAAATTGTAAAAAAAAAAAAAATGAAGAAAAAAAAATTGTGAATTTTTGTTTGTCAATTTTTTTTTATAAGAAATAGTTTTTGAGATTGTTTCAACTATATATTCAAATCCACCAACAACAACAACAAAATGTGTTCATAAACAGCTGGGGAATTCACATGCCTCTCCATAGAGAGCTGTACATGCCATCTAGTGGTTACACCATGATTCTACACTGTTTCTCTATACTGTAACCAGATGGTGCTAATTTTCTTCAAAAAATATTTTTTTCTGAAGGCCTAGACTCTATATTAAACTAAAATACTGCATTAATATTTTTTTGGAAAAAAATAATATATAGAAAAATATATATATATTTTCCATGGCAAATATTGCATAAATATTAATAAATTAAATTAAATTGCCTCAAATACCAAATTAAAAAGAATAAATATTGTAGAACAAAAATAAATTGCATTGGTTTTACTGGAATGGAGAACGTTTCATTTTTTTAGGTGTCCGGTAACTTTTGACAGGGAAGATAACAAGTGTGACTCCGAAACGAACAGCACCTGAGGGTTAAATATGTAATTTTGGTGATCAGAGATGAGTTTTAAGGGATACGATTATTGACTAAGTGTACTCCATGACAAAGAGTATGTATTTTGAACAATGTTAAAAATGTACTAGATTTACTGTTGCTTTTAGACGGTCTAACCACACACACTCGATGAACTGGCGGTTTATTCACTGAACCACATTACATTAGTCATCATGCCCAAATATTTCCAGTAAGGGAATAATTAAAGACTTGAGCCACATACTGTATGGAGATATACCATGAATATTTAGAGATTAAGAGTACACTAGCATATCATTTGCCTCACCGATATTGACTAAAAGCCTCAAAACCAACATTTCCTTTCATGAAAGTACCCATAATCATAGTGGAATCTGTGTATAGATATGCGCTATATGAAATATAACAGTAACTACAATACTAAAGTGTTTTTTTATACTTATCTGTATGACAGACAGGAAAACCCACGGAAATCAGAGAACAGTCCGTCAGACGACTGCAGTTATTCCACATTTCCTGATAAGGGTGTAACCCTACATTTTTATGTAAACTAAAAAGCTGTGACGGCTGATGCTCTGCCGCTCGTACATTTACTGTACCGTCACTATACGGCAATAACACCATCTGTTACAGCGGGCCATAACTACCTCCAGCTATTCCTCCACTTCACTTCTCTGAAATAACAAGCAGTCACTGCTGATTAAATGTATGATGTGTCGTGGCACAGTATAACAGACACAACTGACCTGGGTTCAGATGATGAAACATTTTTCTCCATATCGTGTATTGAAGAGGAGCGATGCGTTTGCTTCTGAAGGTGTTCAGGCTGACGTTCAGCTCTTGCAGAGGTGGTCTGGGGTCAGCACGGGTTCATAATGAAGACAAGACGAGTTAAAAACACAGGAGGAAGTCAGTTTTGTGAAACGCTGAAACCAATCACAGACGTGTGTGTTGTGAGTGTGAATATCAAAGTCGTTGAAATTGAAGTCGTCAACTTGCATTATTTCATATTATAAAAATTAAAAAAAAAAACAGCAGAATTTGATGTGGAAAAACTACATTTCCCATGATGCCGTACAGAAAATTCCACCAATGAGAGTTGCACCAAAAGAGCTCTTAAGCTCCGCCCACTCCCATGAGGCACTTTAGAATGACGTAATCAAATCGATCTCTATGATGTATATATGCATATTTTGAAACAAACCTAAAATATATTGTTTTTAGGGCTGTCAAACGATTAATCGCAATTAATCGCATCCAAAATAAAAGTTTGTGTTTACATAATATAGGTTGGTGCACTAAGTATAATTATCTAGTATATATATATATATATATACAAATACACACACATGCATGTTTATTTAAGAAAAAACACTATTTATATATAAAATATTTATATTTATAAATAATATAAATTAAATATAAATCTATATACACGAAAATATTTTTTAAATATATATAAGCATGTGTGTGTAGAGTCTTTATATATATATAAGATAATTATACACACAGTGCACCCACATATATTATGAAAACACAAACTTTTATTTTGGCTGCAATTAATCGTTTGACAGCCCTAATTGTTTTATATATAAATCAACATTTGTAAAGGTGTAGTTTTATATTTCTCGGTCGGTTTTAATTTGATTATTCCGTCCGCAATGCATCGTGGGATTGTAGTTCTTTCCCCCGCCTTTGCATTTTTATCAAAAATCAAAGTTTGCAATGTTATGGTTCACCTGGATGGTTTGGCATATAACGCTTTAAGACGTTTTTTAAAAGAAATGAATGGAAAAACTATTATTCTGATTATTTACAATGAACTCCCTTATTTAATATGTATTTTAAACCGTTTTCCCTATACAACTGGTACGGAGAACAGTGAAATTTGACTAGTATTGGCAGCAACATCTTACATTATCAAATTGAATTAGAGATTATATAAGGAACATGATTAGGTTTATAAACCGTGGTTAAAAACACAAAGCCGTTTTTAATTGCTACTCACCCAGAATTCAGTTCTGGAAGCTGCGGAGGAAGGAAACAGAAAACAACAGGTTATTTATCTGAATAAGCGAGAGTACAGCACAAGCCGCCCATCTGTCTGATCATTACCAGCACATGCTCCTAATGGATCTGTCCAGATCTGCTGTGTGTGTGTGTGTGTGTAACACACCGATAACTCACTCTGTCAGCCAGCACTGCCGCGGCTACTCGTGGAAATATGACATTCATCTTACAAATATTAGTTCTTTGACACGTGGATACCCTAGTGGAAAAAGTATACTTTATTGTATTTGAAATATATTCCCTTTTCCCATTTTTTTCCATCTTTAAATATATATTCATGAACTATGCCTATTTCACTATACAACTTTTAACACACTTTAAAACATTTGTATTTTCTTATATTTCGAAATTCTGTTTATTTTTTTAAAAGTGCATTTATTTACACTTTATTAAAAACATATTTTATGTGTGCTGGAAATGATCGTTGTGACAATGCATTGAAAGTATACTTTCAAAGTACACTATAGTATATTGTACAAAAGTAATATTTGTTTATTAATGTGCATTTGTTGTTGAAAATGTGTAGTGTTTGGATTAAGCCAAAGTTATTACTGAGCATATTTCCACTCAAATATAATACACTTATGGTATATTGCTTATGTGTTTCAAAGACACTCGCAATTAATTTATAATGTACTTGTAATGCAAATAAAGTACTCTTTAATATCACTAATCAAGCATGTAATTAGTCCCGACACAGACCGATTTATCACACAGAAGTACACTAAATACGCTTAAAATTATGCTTAACTACAATTTAATTACAACTATTGCCGTCAAACAATTATAATATTTAATCACAATTAATCGGATTAATCGCAGATACGAGTGTATCAGTGTGATCACCTCTATGAGCACAGATTGGTCTGCGCAGCTGGCGGTGTGGCGTAGCGTGTGGATGTCCCGCTCCAGGTCCCGGATGGACACCTGCATGTGGAGCAACACAAGAACTATTAAAGGAGCAAAGGACAACACAATAAAGTTAAAGGGATAGTTCACCCTAATATGTAAACTCTGTCAGTAATGACTCTTCCTCATGTTGTTCAACCCCGTAAGACTCTCGTTCATCTTCAGAACACACATTACCGTAAGATATTAAAGATTAAATCTGAGAGCTGGATCACTCAGGGATTGAAACTTGCCGGCCCAGAAAAGTTATTAAAGACATCGTTAAAATAGTCGGAGTGACTACAGGGGCTCAACCTTAAGTTTATCGGGCGACAAAAAAAACAAAAACACCCATTTATCTATGTCTATTGAGTGTCTTCACTAGGGTTGGGTATCGTTTGAATTTGAACGATTCTGATTCCGATTCCTTGTTTCGATTCCGGTTCCTAACGATTCTCGATTCCGATTCTTTTAAGAGGCAGGGCCAAAAAAGTTTAGCTAACCTTGCTAACCAACGGCCTTTCTGAAGGAAATAATCCTGTCACAAATACTCCTTCTGTCACAAATTTTGCATTTTGTTTTAGAAAAGTGAAGCCACACTTTGGACCGCCGACGTAAGCTACTCATGTTCGACTCGCGTGGTTATGCCAACACTTCCGGTAGACGCTTCTTCGTTGGTGTTGTTCAGCGGTTTCTTCTTCCGCTCGGCGGACTGTGAATATCGAAACTAGGAATCGAAATTTTAACTTTTGAACGATTCCGTGAAAAACGAAAAGTTAGTCCCGATTCCAATCGATACTCGCTTCTCGATACCCAACCCTAGTCTTCACTCTTGTCCTCAATCCAACATTGTGCGTGATTGACCTGTAGGGCCTCCAGATGCTCCTCCAGGCCCTTCAGCATCTGCTCCATGTCCCGCTGGAGCTCCTCCATCATGGCCTCCTCCTCCACCCGCAGGAAGTGATGTAGGGCCTGGAAGTCACTGTGCACTCGCCCCCGCAGCTCCTCTCCCGCTCTCTGACGGAAGAAAAGGAGAGTTGAGTGAGTCCTGGAAGTGTCACGTCGAGATCTCGCTCTAGATACTGACAGACTCACTCTTATCTTCTCCATCTGGTCCGTGTCCGAGCGGATCATGGAGACGTAGGCCTCCTTCAGGGAGCACCGCGATTCCAGACGCTCCTTCAGCTGCTTCTGCATATCAAAACATCAGCTGACACAGAGCATTCGCTGACAAATGACAAGAACACTGCAGTATTTATGATTTACGAGGTCATTTCCTGCTGTTGAAGCCGTCAGCCTGCATTACTTCAGCTTAGTTTTTAAATAATTGTGTTTAACAGTAATTCCTGGTGAAAAACTACATTTCCCACGATGCTGTACAGAACATCCCACCAATCAGAGAGTTAAAAGGACTCTTTAGCTCCGCCCACTCCCACAAAGCACTGCGGATGGCCGGTCCGCTCTCAAAATACTTTAATATGTATGGATATTATTACAAATATAATTAACAAGAACTGTACTTCTGAAAAATAATGTTTCCAAAAATCACTCTTAACTTTAATATTATATCCTACAGTAGTTCATCATCTGTGTTTAAAAGGATGAACCAGAGTGATTTCTGAAGGATCATGTGACTCTGAAGACTGCAGTAATGATGCTTTGATAACAGGAATAAAATATACTTTACTATATATTCACATAGAAAACAGATGATTTATAATATTTCACAATATTTTCTGTATTTTTAATTAAATAAACGCAGTCTTGGTGAGCATGACTTGAAATTTTTAAATATTACCAATCCCACACTTTTAAACAGCAGTGAATATCTATTCCCACTCATATGAATGGACTGTATTCCCTCTCACACACACACACACACTTCATTATGAAATGGTATTATTAGTTAATCCAACACATTTGTGGTAGACGTTATTTTACAGTGTCCTTGTTACATATGTTACATGTACAAATAGGGTTACACTACACATGTTAGTTTTTACCAACTGCTTACACACGTTTTGCTCAGAAAATGCACACACAAAATGCCTCACATCTCCTTCAAAATGCAACACTGCATTCAAAATGCCAGAAACACATGTCAGAATGAAGCATTTGTGTCAAATGGCACACTTATTTCATAATAATAATATATATAATATATTAATAATGAAAATACATTTCAATCCAATGTTGATGAGTGAAAGTGAAAGTAAAGAGTACACCGGAAACACCAAGGCAATGTAGACACAGAACATTTTTAATAGATATACATTAGCATAAAACAAAACCATAAACATTTAGTGTTTGCACATGTGAGGAGTGTGTGACCTGGTGAATGAGTCACTTTGATTGGAAAAGTGTTCCTGATAGTCACTTCCTGATAGATCTTGTGTTTTAGGGGGAGAATTGTGTGCAGTGTTTTGAAATAAGTCAAAGGCTGAGAAATAGCTTTTGGTTTTGGAGATTTGGTGTGTGGTTTTGCACTTTGAGAGAGAGGTTTCAAAAATCATGTGACATGAAAAGATTTTGTGCGTAAGCAAAAAAAGTCTGTGGGGTCAGATGGTTTAGTGGTTAAAAGGACGAAACATGAACAGAGATAAGATTAAATAAGATTGCTGTATGTTCACATGAGACTTTAAAACAACACAATTAACCCAGAATAACTCACAATCTCACACAGTAAAGTCTGACCCCGTTTAACATACGTGTAACCCGTTCGGCTGAACGTTACTGTAGTAATAACAGTAAATCACATGCAACTAACCCTCAAACCCTACTCCAACCCTAACCCTATAGTAAATACAGGATGTTAATTAATTTCACTCAGTAATTACATTATAATGATGACACCTTAAAATAAAGTGCAACCACATTTGTTACTGTATTAATGTTAGTTCATCTAAATCCAGCTGTGTGTTCATGTTAGTTCACAAATTTTAATAACATAATAATAAATGTTGAATTTGAATATTAACTAACTAAGATGAATACATTTTGTGGAAGTGCATTTTCAAGAAATGTTTAAGGAAATACGGTCACGAGTCCTGACTAGGGCTGGGCAAACAAAACCATTTTTCGCTTATTCCTTTTTATAAAATGTTGTCAATTCAAAATCCATTCAAGAATTGATTTCTTCCATGTTTTTGTCTCTATCCCCCAGTGTTAGTGTTCCCCCACATGTTCCAGCTGATGCTGGGAGATTATGTGTGCGTTTTATCTTAAACATTAAATAACCTGATCGTGTTTGATCAAGGCGTTCCCTGTTCAATTTACAGCATCAGTTTTACATCGTACATCAAAATCCGGTTCATTCATCGTATGCGTTTGAAATATAGAGTTGGCTTCTGTGTTAATGTACCCAGAGTTTAATATACAGCTTTGTGGCTCTTCATTTCTTTTGATTAAAGCACTTGTAAACTTATGTTCACTGTTCTTTTTTATAAATATGTGACCCTGGATCATAAACGCAGTGGAACTATACACTGTACGGGTCAAAATTATCCATTTTTCTTTTATGCCAAACATCATTAGGATATTCAGTAAAACTCATGTTGCATTCGGATATTTTGTGAATTTCCTCTTTTTCCATTTATTTTTGTGAGTGGATTCAGGTGATTTTCTCAATGTTTCGATTTTTTTTGCACGCTCAGATTGCAGATTTTCAAATCCTAATGTATAAATTATATATTAATGAGACCATTCACACACACTGCAATATCAAATTTAGCATTTTTTGTAAATCGTTTGTCTTGGAGTATCACATGGAGTTCAGTATCGTGATATGTGTCGAATCGTGTCATGGTACACTCCTAATGCTGCCCTGATTTAGGACAAAGCGAAAGTGGGTCCCTGAGGGTCGACTGAGAGACGAAACTCACCTCCAGATGCTTGATGGATCCAGGCGTGGAGCCGGCCCTGACCTTCTCCACCACGCCGGCCACGAGGTAGTTGGTCTGAAAGCTCCTGTTGGGGAACTCTCGCCGGCACTGCGGGCAGGACGCCGGCCCCCTGAGGCTCTGCCAGTACGACACGATGCACTTCCTGCAGAAGTGGTGCATGCAGCCCAGCATCACGGGCTCCCGGAAGAGCTCGAAGCAGATGGCACACGTCAGGTCCTCTCGCAGACTCGTCCTGCTGGACGCCATGAGAGCACGCAGATCTCCAGCCGGACGCTTCACGTTCACTTCTGGCACACCTCACACGGCTGCATGGTGTAGTCAAACCATTTCAAAATCATGGTAATACTTAAAGGAGTAGTTCACTTTTAAAAAAACTTTTGCTGATAATTTACTCACCCCCATGTCATCCAAGATGTCCATGTCTTTCTTTCTTCAGTCGAAAAAAAAGTAAGGTTTTTGATTAAATCATTCCAGGATTTTCTCCATATAATGGACTTCAATGGGGTCCAAACGGTTCGAGGTCCAAAAGACAGTTTCAGTGCAAACTGTTCAAAGGGCTTTAAACGATTCCAGACGATAAATAAGGGTCTTATCAAGCGAAACGATCGCTCATTTAATAAATGAATAACAAAGTTTAAGTTTTATAAGCTCAAATTCTCGCCTTGCTCTGTTCTGTGTGACTCTCCTGTTCAAACTCGTTTATCAAAAAGAACGAATCTTTTTCCGAGTCATTTGGTTGATTCAACAAACGAAAAAAACTCGAAAAAAGATTTGTTCATTTTGATAAGCGAGTTCAAACAGGAGAGTCACGAACGCGCGTCACAGAACAGAGCAAGGCGAACATGTGTGCTTATAAAAGTTAAACTTTGTAATTTATTTATAAAACGAGCGATCGTTTCGCTTGATAAGACCCTTATTCATCGTCTGGAATCGTTTAAAGCCCTTTGAACAGTTTGCACTGAAACTGTCTTTTGGACCTTGAACCGTTTGGTTCCCATTGAAGTCCATTATATGGAGAAAATCCTGGAATGTTTTCATCAAAAACCTTAATTTCTTTTCGACTGAAGAAAGAAAGACATGGACATCTTGGATGACATGGGGGTGAGTAAATTATCAGCAAAAGTTTTTTTTAAAAAAGTGAACTACTCCTTTAATAAAAAATAAAAAAAAACCTTTAATTTCAACATTTACTTCTTGTTAACATTAGTTACTGCATGGTGAACTAACATGAATAAACAAAGAACAGCCGGATTTTTATTCACTGACATTTACAAATGATTAACAAATAACTGTTAGTTCACTGTTAGTTCATGCTGGATAATGCATTGTTAACTAATTGTGAAGTGTTACCAAAATCATAATATAGAACAGTGCTATTGTGAAATCTTTGTTTGGGATCCTAATGTGCATTTAGAAGTCTAATGCACTTTGTGTTTCATAGCAAAGTGTTGCGGCATTCACTAGATTTGTAAATCATTTATAAACCTGCGCTAACACAGGAGAAAACAAACTTCTAAAACTGCGAACTGTTGTTTATCACGATTTCAAGCGAGTAGTTCACTACTGATATAATGAGGACTATATAAAATAACATGATGATTTATCATTTAAGATTAAAAATCACATACTAAGTTACTCTCAAGCATGCATTACAACACGTCTGAAAACATGTCATGGTTAATGATTGACGACAGTCGCAGCAAATACTTAATGTTAATTCGTGTATAACGTTACTGTAACAAATTATATTTAGGCAGAAACTATAAGTTTAGAAACTTATTGTGTATTTCTGTATGCTGTAACAGTTCGTGCTTCCGAAACTAATGCATTTATCGACGAACTGCACATTAATAGCCTCTTACACCAGCTATAAACTTTAAATGTAAACTTTTTAACTACACCATATGATGATAGTATATTTTATTAAAGAAAATGCACAGACATTAAACACGTCCTGATGTTAAAGCTGCTGTTCCGCGCTCGGTGTGGATGTAAACAAAACATTAGCCTGCTGTGAGTTAGCTACACGGCTAAACCCAACTAACGTTACAACAATTACATGAAAATAAAGATGAAGATATGAAAAATATGTGTTGTTGTTACATAAATAAACAGTAACTTACCCTCTGTGGTTTGGTTGTCCGTGAAGCCGCAGAGAGACTGGGAAATCAGATCAGAAGTGTCTGTGTGTGTGAAGTGCTTTCGCTTCACTTTCATTATGATTCAGACCATAGACAGACAAGCAATGGGTTAAACACATGATGATGGAAACGAAATCAAAACCATGCACATCTTGAAAACAGTTTTTTCTATTCACAGCCCTGCTGGGCGGATAAATAAAACCAGCCTAAACTGGTTAGCTGGTTTAAGAGGGGTTTTGGACACTTTGTTTAGCTAACCAGGCTGGGCTTTGATGGGAGACCAGCTAAAACCAGATGCACCTTTGCCTGGCCATGCTGGAAGACCAGCTTACACCAGTTCTATAAGGCCAGCCAAACTAGCCTGGTTTCAGCAGGGATTTTCCCAGCAGGGTAGTTCATGGTTCAGAGAGTGGGGTAAGATGAGACTTTTTTTTATACTAGGCTGTGGACCTCATCAAGATAAGAAATTTGGCAGAAGTACGAATTTTCAGGATGTTTCATCGTTTTAAATGCATCTATGACAAAATGGCTCTAAAATGTGGCTTCTTATAAAAAAAAGTGTTCTCAATTTAACCCATGCAGGATAGGGATAAACATTTAGTCAAAGGTTATTGGCATGGTTTTCTGCAATGCCGGACATGTTAGCATAAGGCCATTAGGGACTGCAGGTGGAAAGTTATATATGATTAAAATCTGGTGAAAAGTGTCTTTTGGTTCTTATCATAATATGATTTGGTGTAATTGTAGACCTACATTGTTCCTGTCAAATAAACTCAACGTAAAAAAATAAATAAATAAATAACTAAACCAGTTGTGTAATATTAAGTTGAAATTATACCAGTTTATACAGCAGAGATTTACCCTTTACCTTAACTAGTGCCTTATGGTGCGGTTTGTTAAAATGCTGGCTCGATTTACCCCGAAGCATTTGTCTCACTTTGCCATTTTGGACGAAATTAGCTTACCAGTTCAGGTTAATATTTAGCTAAATGATTTGCATGGTTTTATACATTCAATATGGATCATAAATATTTTTAGACCAGGACAAATTTGCTTTTATGTAACAGCCATTGCATCTGTTGAGCAATTTATTTTTGACTTGCCAAAAACATTTTTAAAGTAAATGGGTTCCACTCCCATGTCACAGTCTGGCAGAAATGAAGGGTTGTTCCTAAAGGTCACATGACAATAAATGTGCACCCAAGATAAACCATTGGCTCATCTTACCCCGCTCTCCCTTACTGATAATAAGCTTATAGTAGACTTATGGTAGTAACCTAAATTTCATTGTAAGCTCTCTCATGTCTTGAACAGATACAGCAATAGCCAAGTGCCAAAATTAGTTTTTTTTCTAACAACATAATCACACTATTATCATCACACTGTAGAGTTTTAGATGGAGTGAAGTCACATGGACAAGTCACAAGATCTGTATGTATATAAATACACAACTAACTTTAGAGTCAAAAGTCCAAGTAAGAAAAAAATAGGCCTGTGTATTTCAAAGCCCTCTTAAACTAGAATCATGTTTCTGAATTTTGTCCTACAAATTAAAATGTTAATATTTTCATATTTTTTGTAATAGCCAAGATAAACAAATAAGTAAAACCACATTGACAGACTGAATTAGAATTTAATTGAAAACGTTTTTTTCTCTGGACAAAAATACTCACAAGTATCTTTCATAAATGTCAAGGCAAGATGTGGCATTTTTATGTGTTGGATAAATCTTTTTTTTCTGTTTTAGAAAGGTCTGTGACTTAAAAAAAAAAGAATTTACCCTGAAAAAAATGCAGTAAAGTAAAAGGTGTGGCAATATATATATATATATATATATATATATATATATATACCTTAGAAGAATTCAGTGATGTCACTGGCTAAAGTTTACGTTACATGCAATTAGGATGGCAAATGCATTTTAAAAAGAGATAAATGAACATCCTCCTGATACTGAAACCGCACGCGCTCCTGAGTCAGCAGCTGTAACACCTGTGTGTGTGTGTGTGTGTGTGTGTGTGTGTGTTGGCTCAGCAGTGCCTTGTGTGATTAAAACATAATCAATTAAATCTGCTCAATAAAAACGTGGCAACAGATTACAAGCAATATTTTTAATTAAATTCAACAAATAAGCATTAAGTTAGAATTATTCAAATTAATTCATTAAAATTCAACCATTTAAAATGAGTAACTGCAAATAGCACGTAAAATATTAAGTTAAATTTAAACAGAAATATCAATATAACAGACAGACGTCAAAGATGAATTAAGAACTCTTTAATTTTTTTATAAAACAGCCTTAGATGAAATCAACCGAAAAGACATTAAATCTCTCTTATTACAAACCAGAGTTGTGTTTCCCAAAAGCATCGTACTAATTTGATGGTAGAGAACATTGGTGGCAATTGTTCAACGATTAACTTATGATGCTATTGGGAAACGCAGCCCAGACTGACTTTATTTCAGTAATTCGTCTACAGTTGTTTTGGAGAATTAACAGGTTTAGATGTTGATGTTTTGTTGGAAATGTGTTTCCTTTAGTTGGACAGTTTGACTCTTGGCTTTTTATGTGAGTTTGTGGTTTTTGTATCAGTGTTTTGCTAAAGCACATCATTTGTTCCAATGGAAACCACAAACAAAGACAGTCAGTAATCATCAAGTAGTTATTAATAGTTTGCATACAGAATCAACATATGACGTCACAACCAGGAAAGGATAAAAGCAAGCAAGTCAATGAAAGGGATGCAGGGAGTATGGTGGGCGAGGCAGCGCCATCTGTGCCAGGAAAGATGATGACCCCTCCAGAGACGCTGAGCTGAGCAGCCTTTCATTACCGCTCCCCAGCATCTGTCGAGAGCCAAACTCGATGGCAAAGAGCTCCCAGCACTGGACCACTGGTAGCACTGGTACCAAGACAAGGAAACCAGTTTCTTCCATATAACCAAAGCACGGAGACACCGCCGCGTGATCTTGATCATACGAAGAGGGATCACCACTGCAAAGGTCTCATGTACAGCAGGCCAAAGGCTATTACACAAGTGAGCCGAGCCGAACCGTACCGTACTGTACAATGCAGTGGAAAAGCGTCATCAGTGAGCCGAGCCGAACCGTACCATACCGTACAATGCAGTGGAAAAGCGTCATAAGTGAGCCGAGCCGACCGTACCGTACCGTACAATGCAGTGGAAAAGCATCATAGCGTGCCGTACCGAACCGTACTGTACAATGCAGTGGAAAAGCGCCATAAGTGAGCCGAGCCGAACCGTACCATACCATACAATGCAGTGGAAAAGCATCATAGCGTGCCGTACCGAACCGTACCGTACCGTACAATGCAGTGGAAAAGCATCATAGCGTGCCGTACCGAACCGTACCGTACCGTACAATGCAGTGGAAAAGCATCATAGCGTGCCGTACCGAACCGTACCGTACAATGCAGTGAAAAAGCGTCATAGTGTGCCGTACCGAACCGTACCGTACAATGCAGTGGAAAAGCATCATAGCGTGCCGTACCGAACCGTACCGTACAATGCAGTGAAAAAGCGTCATAAGTGAGCCGAGCCGACCGTACCGTACCGTACAATGCAGTGGAAAAGCATCATAGCGTGCCGTACCGAACCGTACCGTACCGTACAATGCAGTGAAAAAGCGTCATAGTGTGCCGTACCGAACCGTACCGTACCGTACAATGCAGTGGAAAAGCATCATAGCGTGCCGTACCGAACCGTACCGTACAATGCAGTGAAAAAGCGTCATAGTGTGCCGTACCGAACCGTACCGTACCGTACAATGCAGTGGAAAATAATCATAGCGTGCCGTACCGAACCGTACTGTACAATGCAGTAGAAAAGCGCCATAAGTGAGCCGAGCCGAACCGTACCGTACCGTACAATGCAGTGGAAAAGCATCATAGCGTGCCGTACCGAACCGTACCGTACAATGCAGTGAAAAAGCGTCATAGTGTGCCGTACCGAACCGTACCGTACAATGCAGTGGAAAAGCATCATAGCGTGCCGTACCGAACCGAACCGTACCGTACAATACAGTGGAAAAGCGTCATAGTGTGCTGTACCGAACCGTACCGTACCGTACAATGCAGTGAAAAAGCGTCATAGTGTGCCGTACCGAACCGTACCGTACCGTACAATGCAGTGGAAAAGCATCATAGCGTGCCGTACCGAACCGTACCGTACCGTACAATGCAGTGGAAAAGCATCATAGCGTGCCGTACCGAACCGTACCGTACAATGCAGTGGAAAAGCATCATAGCGTGCCGTACCGAACTGTACCGTACCGTACAATGCAGTGGAAAAGCATCACAGTGTGCCGTACCGAACCGTACCGTACCGTACAATGCAGTGGAAAAGCGTCATAGCGTGCCGTACCGAACCGTACCGTACCGTACAATGCAGTGGAAAAGCGTCATAGTGTGCCGTACCGAACCGAACCGTACCGTACAATGCAGTGGAAAAGCGTCATAGTGTGCCGTACCGAACCGTACCGTACCGTACAATGCAGTGGAAAAGCGTCATAGTGTGCCGTACCGAACCGAACCGTACCGTACAATGCAGTGGAAAAGCATCACAGTGTGCCGTACCGAACCGTACCGTACCGTACAATGCAGTGGAAAAGCATCATAGCGTGCCGTACCGAACTGTACCGTACCGTACAATGCAGTGGAAAAGCATCATAGTGTGCCGTACCGAACCGAACCGAACCGTACAATGCAGTGGAAAAGCGTCATAGTGTGCCGTACCGAACCGAACCGTACCGTACAATGCAGTGGAAAAGCGTCATAGAGTGCCGAACCGTACCAAACCGTACCGTACAATGCAGTGGAAAAGCGCCATAAGTGAGCCAAGCCATACCGTACCGTACAAAGCAGTGGAAAAGCGCCATAAGTGAGCCGAGCCGACCGTACCATGCCGTACAATGCAGTGGAAAAGCGCCATAAGTGAGCCGAGCCGACCGTACCGTACCGTACAATGCAGTGGAAAAGCGTCATAGAGTGCCGAACCGTACCAAACCGTACCGTACAATGCAGTGGAAAAGCGTCATAAGTGAGCCGAGCCGACCGTACCGTACCGTACAATGCAATGGAAAAGCGTCATAGTGTGCCGTACCGAACCAAACCGTACCGTACAATGCAGTGGAAAAGCATCATAGTGTGCCGTACCGAACCGTACCGTACCGTACAATGCAGTGGAAAAGCATCATAGCGTGCCGTACCGAACTGTACCGTACCGTACAATGCAGTGGAAAAGCATCATAGTGTGCCGTACCGAACCGAACCGTACCGTACAATGCAGTGGAAAAGCGTCATAGAGTGCCGAACCGTACCAAACCGTACC